CTAGTTCTTGATTATTTTAGGAAATTGCCCTAATTTTCACTAAGAGTATATTTACGCTCCTTTAACCAAAGTGTTACTCCTTCGAACCTTTTCAAAAATGTTATCGGTGATGATCATTCTGAGGCCTCCAATGATATCTTTGAAAAGAATCTTTGAATATATTCTTGCTTTTTTTTTTTGCCAATATGTATAAATGTTGTCTAAACTCAGCTACTTTGTGGAGTTTAGGTGCTCCTTCGGTCTGAAAAAGATTGTGTCTTCCTGCAATACTGCCATTGCATCCATACCAAAGTTCACCTGTGCTTGCTAATGATATTTTGAACACTTTTTTTTTTAAATTTCAGTGGCAAGACCATGATATGGATTGAAAATAGCTATAACTATTAGATTTTTGTGATTCTGGACAAATTCACTCAGCTCTCAGAAATTTTAGACTTTTAAAAAAAGTTGTAGGTAAAAAAAAAATTAAGCAATAAGATCTGGAAGCGCATGGATCTTGGAAAATCATGCATGCTTCTGCAATTTAATATTACTTCTAGCATGTAAAAAATGAAGTACTATTTCATATCGTTTCTCTGAAAATAAGAGCTATCCCAAAAATAAGCCCTAGCATGTTTTTATGTGTGCTTCTAATATAAGCCCCCCCCCCCCAAATAAGCCATACTTAAGAGCCTGAGCAGCTGGCCAGCAACCATTCCATCTGGTTGCTCATGAGGCAAAGCAGGATGGTGATGGAGCATCCCTATGCACTCCACACCAGCTTGCCCTCAGGGCCCCCGCAGCCAGGCCATCCATTCCCCGACACCTGCCTTGCGGTGGCATCAACAGCAGCGATATGCAGCAGGAGCCCATGAAGGATTAATGGGAGCGACGGGGCGCTCCCATGTGACTCCTCTCCTGCGCGAGCTGCACTGGCTTCCTGTGGTCTTCCGGGCACGCTTCAAGGTGTTAGTGACCACCTTTAAAGCGCTCCATGGCTTAGGGCCGGGGTATTTACGAGACCGCCTTCTGCCGCCAATAGCCTCCCACCGGCCAGTTCGCTCGCACAGAGAGGGCCTCCTCAGGGTGCCGTCGGCCAGACAATGTTGGCTGGCGACCCCCAGGGGGAAGAGCCTTCTCTGTGGCGGCACCTGCCCTCTGGAACGACCTACTCCCAGAGATACGCACGATACCAGACCTCCGGACTTTTCGTCGGGCCCTGAAAACACATCTATTTCATCTAGCCGGGCTGGCTTGATCCCATCCTTTCGGTTTTAATTTGTAATTGGTTTTAACTGGGTTGTTTTAAATTGATGGCCAAAATTATTTAATGTCTTTTAAACTGCTTTTAAATTTTATATGTTATGTTTTACCATGGCTGTTCACCGCCGTCCTGTTGGAGAAGGGCGGTATACAACTAAAATAAAATAAATAAATAAATAAATAAATGTGGCTGCCAGCCCACTTTTTCTGCTTGCTCCTCAGCTCTGAGGCGAGACAGGTGTCAGGGCATGGATGGCCTGGCTGTGGGTGCCCTGAGGAAAAATGGTGCGGGGTGTGTGGGGCAGCTCCACCTCCTCACCTCACCTCAGGGCCATGGCACCCACACTTCGCTTGGCCTCCTGCTCCATTGTGGCTGTGAGCAAGCAGAATTGGTCCAGCGGCCACGCAGAGTCCTGCTGGAGCTACATTCCCCTTGCCTCATGGCAGTGACACTGGCACACCACGCAGCCTCCTCCTGCCTTGCCACAAGCAAGCAGAAGTGGGACTCCCATAGATGGGGAAAAAAAAGACATCCCCTGAAAATAAGCCCTAATGCTTATTTTGGGCCCCAAAAGAAAATAAGACCCAGTCTTATTTTCGGGGAAACACGGGTAGCAAAAAAAAAAAAAAAGGTAATGCAGGATCCAATCTAGGTCAGTCACTGGGACTAGAGGTTTTATCTTCCAAGCTTTTGGACTAGTGCTGGAGCCCATCTTCAAGAAACCTCTCTCTATCAGAGCGCGTGCTGTTCTGATGGTATTAATCTGTTGCCTGTTGTATATGGCTTTTTAGATGCTGATTGGGGTGTGTGTTGATGGCTGGGTTTTAAGTCGTTGGCTGTCCTGTTTGCTTGTGCTGCCCAGCCCTTGCCTTCTAAGTCCTTTTATTAAAAAAGTTATTTATTTTTATTTCTCATAACACATTTACATGTACAGTCATTTCCATCATTTTTCTTTTAACTTTCATTTTTCATTTTTACTTTTTTGAGACTGCTCTTTTACCCTTTACTTTTCCTCCAACCTTTCTTCTTCTCCTCCCCTTCTCTTCCTTCCTCTTTCTCCTCCTACTTCCTTCGTTCTTCCTCTCCTTCTCTTTCCTACTTCCCTTTCTCTTCCCCCACTCCTCTTTTCTTCCCTCCTTCTAACCTTCTCCTCTGCTCCTCTTTCCCCTCCCTTTTCTTCCTCTCCTTTTCCCTTTTTTCTTTCTCCTCCCCTCTCCTTTCCCTTCCTCTCTCTCTACTCCTTCCCCTCTCTCCTGTGAATAAAGATAATTAGAAAATCGGGGCTGCTCGAATACCACTTTAGATTGAACTGAAAAGGGCCTTCTAAATACTTGAGAAGCTGGGGTAAAATGGATAATGGAGCAGACGTTCTCACTCATGATCTTCATCAGTCAAATGTATTTTATCTAATTAAGTTTGCATTGAAAGAAAAAAAAATCCTGCTTGAAATGACAGACTGAAAGCTCAATGCGCTGTGGGTTTTAGCAGGTATTGTACAATTTTATTACAACCGCTTCTACCTTTTGACCATCTGATAGCAGCCTTTGAAAGCATCGAGTTGGCTAGCTGTGACACCCAACCTAAGGAGCTCACGCACAAAAGTCCAAATCGCACTGGTGATTTTAGGAGCGCATCTAGGTCATTTTCATGGTAGTCATGTAAAAATGGCATTGTCTTCTTCTAAGATGGTGGGATTTAAAAAAAAAACACCTCATTTGAGTCTATAGTTTTTGTAGTGCCCCATAAAGTACCAACTGAGTTTGACCCTATTCAGCTTGACAGACTCTTCTCCCATGGTTGCCAAGTTTCCACCTACTGATAATAATACCTGTTTATAAAGCTACAGGTTTTATAATTCAGACCAGAGGTGGGTTTCAGCAGGTTCTGACCAATTCTGGAGAACCGGTAGCGGAAATTTTGAGTAGTTCGGAGAACCGATAGTAAAAATTCTGACTGGCCCGGCCCCCATCTATTCTCTGCCTCCCAAGTCCCAGCTGATCGGGAGGAAATGAGGATTTTGCAGTTACCTTCCCCTGGATTGGAGAGGGAATGGAGATTTTACAGTATCCTTCCCCTGCCACGCCCATCAAGCCACACCCACCAAGCCACACCATGCCCACCAAGCCATGCCTACAGAACCGGTAGTAAAAAATTTTGAAACCCACCACTGATTCCGACCCATTAAATGAACCATCCCAACCTCAATGAACTGGTGCAGTAAGATCCATGGGAGAAGGAACCCAACAAAGGTTTCTTCTCCCAACCATCTGATGGGTTCACAGCCCATCAATGGACCTGGCTCATGATGAGATGATCTGAAATAGGGCCTCGAAAAAAAGCAAAGTTCTAGTGCAGCTGGTCTCCATAACTGAAGGAATGCTGGTTCCAGTGGTGGGACTCAATTTTTTTTACTACCGGTTCTGTGGACGTGGCTTGGTGGGCGTGGCCAGGAGTGTGACAGGCAGCACTTGGCCTCCTGCACCCCCATGGGAGCAAAAACGAGCCATGGGGGAGGCCCTTTTGGGCCTAGTAGGCCTCCCTGAAGCCTCCTGGAAGTGAAAGCAGGCTGCGGGGGGCAGCCCCCATGCCCCATTTTGGGCCTAGGAGGCCTCCCTGCACTTACCTGAGAACCAAAATGGGGCGTGTGGGCACTCTTGGAAGGGGTGGGGCAGGAAGGGGTGGGGCCAGTCAGCAATTTAACTACCGGTTTGCCTGAACCGGCTGAATCCAGTGTCTATAAATTTTTGTGGTTCACACAAAAATTTATAGACAGGACTAAACTTTCCTATGGATTATTGCTTTGAAAATGAATGCTGCAGGATTCCTGTTCTCTTATATAATGATCAACAGTTTTATTGATTATGCTGTTGATTCTTTCTCACCTCACTTCCTTCATATGCAAAAGAAAGATAAGGTTACAAGTGCTATTATTAGCTTATCGCTCAATCAAATCCTTTTTTTAAAAAAAATGTAAAATGCAATCAAGACTTAAATATAAGAATCACAGTTACCAGTTACCTCTATGTTAACCATATCATGTGGATTCCCAACATTTGAATTCTAGATATAGCAAATGGCTATAGTCATAGATGTCTACCCATGCAACCAAACTCAAAATCTTTAAAGGTAGTCTTCAACTTACAACCTTTTGTTTAATGACCAAAATTATGACAGTGATGAAAAAATGGGACTAGTAAACAGTTGTTGCACTTATGACTGTGACAGAAGGTCACATGCTCAAAATCCATGCATTTACTAGGGTTGGAGCATCCCAGGGTCATGTGATTATCACCCTTTGCGACCTTCCTGGCCAGCTCCCGACAAGCAAAATCAATAAGGAAAAATGGATTCACTTAACAACCAAAAGTGTCACTTAACCATGGTGATTTATTTAACAAGCACAGCAAAAAAAAAAAAAAAAAATAAGATTGCAAAATTGGATGTGACCCACTTGGCAACCATTTCACTTAGCAACGGATATTCTGGTTCTGATTGGGATTCTAAGTCGAGGACTACATATCCACTGTGTAGGATTTTGCTACTGTTCCTCAGGTTTTTTTTTTTTTTTTCACATCTAAATCTTTCTCAGTCCCGAGAGGAGATGCTAGGGATGAAATTTAAGGTCTTTTGCATACAAAAAGAGGTGCCCTATTTTATATGCCATTGAATTTCATATATTCATGAGCCAGAGCTCCTTCCTGGTCTATCAGAAAGCCTGCTCCACATAAAAAGGATATTATTCAAATCTGTACCGTACCTGAGTGTCAAATTTAGCAGCGCTGTAGAGGAAAGATTTGCAGATGTCATACATGCCACCTGTGTCACACGTAGAGTTTTCCAGACAGGCAAAAGCCCCACAACCCACTTGGAGGGCACTGTTTAGACATCGAATCACATCCGCTGCAAAGAAAAGGGTGAGCAAGAAACAGAAAACATCTTAGCACAAGTTTCTATCACGCTTGGTTCAAAATCAGAGCAGCTTTCAGCTCAGCTGGTGGTGGGTATCTGCCACATTTGCTGAGTCATGTTTTACTTCCAGATAGCTCTCCTCGACACATCACCCTTAGTAAGGGATTCACTGCATTTTTAGCCTCAACACGCAACTTACAGAGTCTCGGTGAGCCCAGTGGCTGCCCTGGAAGATTTTGTTTCAAGAAAAAATGGTCTTCTATTACCGTAGAAAATGGGAGTCATCTTGGGGATCAGCCATGCTTCTAAGACTTCAAGGGACAGGCGATTTCTAATGCCAGGGCTGTGTGGCTGTCCATGAACCATGTCCCAAAGGTGCTTTTTTTCAAGAGGCAACTGGACTTTCTGGTTTTTTCTTTGAGGACGTTTCACTTCTCATCCAAGAAGCTTCTTCAGCTCTGACTGGATGGTGGGGAATGGAAGGATTTATACTCCTTGCAAACAGCTGGACATTTGCATCCTTTTAGGGGGTCGTTAGGGCCACCTGGAGGCTTATCTCTGTCCTCAGGGTCACCTGAGTGGTGCAAATGTGTGTGGACCCTTCTTGGAACTGTTGAAAGGACTGTGTTGTAGATTGGAGATAGATGTTTGTTGCATCCCTCCCCCTCGGTTGAGAGAGGATTGTTCAATTTTGACATAAATGGCCTCTTCAACCCCCTTGAAAGGATGCAAATGACCAGCTGTCTGCAAGGAGTATAAAACCTTCCATTCCCCACCATCCAGTCAGAGCTGAAGAAGCTTCTTGGATGAGAAGCGAAACGTCTTCAAAAGAAAACCCAAAAAGTCCAGTTACCTCTTGAAAAAAAGCACCTTTAGGACAACTGTGACCTGGATGACTGAGAATCTCCATAGACGTCCATGGATCATCTTCATCCCTTCCTATTATAATACTAGTTTCTCATATACCTGCAGCCTGTGGGAGTGGGGCAAATTCATTTCCAAAGATTTGATGAAGAAAATGCCTTCATTCTTCCACTCATTGGAGCCCAACCCTGATATGTCAGAAGGTCAACATTCTGGGCAGAAATCAAACCCAGGTGATCATCAGAACTGCATATTATTTTTCCAAATCCAACAAGATGCTAAATATGCTATTTGGAGCCTAGCAAAGTGGTGCAATTCTATCAGACCATACCCAACCTGCTGTATCACTCTCAATACTCAAGAGGATTGTTATTTGAGATATTTTTATATTATTTCTCCCAAGGAAATAATTCCCTCAAGGTCCTTTACAAATTCAGTACAATTTGATTCAGGGCAATTTGACCGTAACTTGACAACACAAGTCATTTCAAACCTAATTCAGAATCCCAGCAGCTACCAAAGCAGCATCAGATATATATGAAACGTTGAAATATCTGCCTAACCCAATTACTCCAAAGGATGAAAAGTGCTCAGAATTATGGGAATTCTAGTCCAGTACATCTGAAGTCCCCAAACTATAGTTGATTGAGGCAGCTTGGAAAGATGTTTCGTTAAGGAATTCCATGGTCACCAACCAAAATGGCTTTATTGTCCATCTTGGCTAACCATAAGATAATAAACATACCACCTCTTTAATAATATGGACCAATTTTATACAGGGGCACTTTTGAAAATGACCACATTGGATTGTGAATATGGGATGGGAACAGAGCAGAGGCAAAATATCTTTACTTTTGTTGTTTGGCTGATAACAATCATTCAACACACAACCTCAGATCTCCTCTCTTCCCCCCACACCTCCAGGTCCCTCCCCGTGTGCAAAGATTCTTACGAATTGAAGCTACTATCGCCTATTGATTATGGAGTGAACATTTTTTTATAGTTCAGCTCCATTGTTCCAGAAGACACTTTATGAAGGCCATCTATGAGCAAATGTGTCCTTATCTTTTGGACCCAATTAGAAGAAATACATTAGAAAGCCATCACTGTCGATGAGTTTAGGAAGTCCATAAAAGTGAAGTACAGATGGAAGGTTTTGTGTAAAGGCTATGAAAAGTCGTGGTTGAAAAACGTTGCACTAGGCTCATGGAGACCCAGATTTAAATCACTTCTTGATTTCGTGAAGCTCAGTGAATGATCTTCAGGCAACCAAGATTTTTCAGTCCAATTTGAAAGGAGGTTGTAAAATTGAGGAAGGGAATCAGGAACCTCACCTTGGGCCAAAGCTAGGATATACAGCATTTTGTAAGAGATCTCATTTAAAAAAAAAAAACCCACATTATTTTTCGCACTGAATTAAGTAAACTTACAATTTGAAGTTAAAATGGCACTGAACAAGTGACTTATGACCATTGCGGCATCCC